TTCACCCTCAGCTTAACCCTAACGAATTAATCTGGGCTGAGATGAAGAAAAAGGTTGCTTTGGCAAATACAACATTTAAACTCCATAACGTTAAGAGACACACAGAGCAGGCCTTATCAAGTAGAACCAGAGAATTCTGGCAAAAGTGTGAGGGACATGTCAAAGTAACAAAGGAAAGATACTGGATAAATGATGGATTAATTTTCCCTAAGCAGCCTAGTGTAGTCATCAGCCTGATTGACGATACATCTGATTCTGAATAATTAGTGAGTGTTAAAATATGATTAAATGTGTCCCGTAGATCTGTCACTTTCTCTCTATAGGTTTGTCTGTCTGTCTGTGTAACCATCAATGTCGCTTCAGATAATGGTTAGGAAATTTGTTCAGCACTGGCGACGCCTATGAACATCCGAGAAACGAGCAATTTGTCCAACTTTCTGCACGTGATTACTGTACAACTTGTATTGAAGTAGTAATGATACATCGTAATTAATTAACCAGCCACAATTTGGGAAAATTGATTGCATTTCCCAGTGGATGAGATGGATACTAAGCTCTTCTCAAAATATAAAGGTGATCGGTTGGGTAGTCTGTGAGATATCCTGTGTCAAACAGCGGCAATATTTTGTTACAAGCTATAGGAAGAAGCAGCGTCAGTTCAGAGTTCACGACACAAGATTGGCTACGATCGTTATTGACACATTGGTGCACAGACACGTTGACACACTGACACACTGACACACTGACACACTGACACACTTACAAATTGACACACTGACCCACTGACACACTTACAAATTGACACACTGACACACTGGTGCACAGACACGTTGACACACTGACACACTGACATACTGACACATTGGTGCACAGACACGTTGACACACTGACACACTTACATATTTACACACTGACACACTGATACACTGGTGCACAGACACGTTGACACACTGACACACTGACACACTTACAAATTGACACACTGACACACTGACACACTGGTGCACAGACACGTTGACACATTGACACACTGACTCACTGACACATTGGTGCACAGACACGTGGACACACTGACACACTGACACATTGGTGCACACACACGTTGACATACTGACACACTGACACATTGGTGCTCAGACACGTTGATACACTGACACACTGACACACTGACACATTGGTGCACAGACACGTTGACACACTGACACACTGACACATTGGTGCACACACACGTTGACATACTGACACACTGACACATTGGTGCTCAGACACGTTGATACACTGACACACTGACACACTGACACATTGGTGCACAGACACGTTGACACACTGACACACTGACACACTGGTGCACAAACAAACTGACACACTGACACTCTGGTGCACAGACACATTGACACACTGACACGTTGACACATTGGTGCACACATACGTTGACACACTGACACACTGACACACTGACACACTGACA